AAGCAGTGGTATCAACGCAGAGTACTTGTGGGCGAAGTTTCCGGCCAATCCATGATCATCAATATTTTGGCCAAAACCCGTCGGCGAACTTGAGCCCAGAACGAGAAAAAATCAAAGGGCCCGAATTCGTCGGAAAACTGCGCATAGAGGTTATTTGACCTGCTGATCACGAAAAACACACCTGCTTTGCAAATTAGCGCCTCACTGTATGGTTACGGTAGCTAAAATTTGAAAGACATAGATTTTTCCAAAATTCATCGACCTATCTTTCTCTGTGGAAAAGGGATCCTCCGCTGCTCGCTAGCGCATAATAATCTACGGAAACAGCTCTACTGGACCATGTTTACTAGAATCTTCCTTGTGTGTTCTTCGCTGAGTTACACCGCTACGAACACCCGTCCTCACACAAAAATCGAGCAAATTGAAAACGGACCGGTAAGGGAGCGTAGAATATCAGAAGGTTCATTTTGACGAGCTGAACATCATGCTTTCGTCGGATTCCTAGTTTATGCTATTGAAGAAAGTTATGAACAAAGGACGAAAAAAACGCGGATCGTCAGTTTTTGCGTTTTCTGTCGAAAAATTAGTGTGGGTACTGTAATTTGCGCGATTCGCGTGATTCCGCAGAAATTCCGGAATGTTTAAAACTCCCAGAACGCTGCGGACTTTCGCAAAACCTCCGAAATCACGACAACAAAGAAAATCTGCACATTCTGTGAGCTATTGTAGATAGCAAAAAATAGAGTAGAGCATAGGAGAGTTCATAAAAACTTCGGTACGGAGGCAACCGCCCATGTACACACTCGTTCACGGGCGTGTGGACTCTGGTGAAAAGATGCTCGAGCACGCCGTTTGTGCCGTTTCGCACCTTAGACCGATCGCCTTCGTGGATCTGGGTCTGTATGTCCATACGCAGAAAACAGAATTGTTCAGCTCATCGTTGAAATTCTTGTTGACAGGCGACTCGGTTCATTCGCAATTTATAGAGCGGTGGATTTTTCTGAAGAAAGAGCAACGTTTCTAAAGAGACCATGCTCATAGCGATCAATCGATTGCTGCAGTGAGGGATCTATCTACTGCACCGAATGCGCAATTGAATTGAAAAAGCCTGTAGATCAAATACTATAAGAGATGAAGCGATAAAAACTTGCACAGCGTTTTCTAAACTATATTTCTTACTGTATGTCAGGAAAGATCCAATTTTGTGATATCATCAGTGATAAATGATAAAATGATTATATCAATGACAACGACAGATAAGAATGGCTTAAATTTATGCGGTCGATTCCCACGTTCATCTTCCATGTAGGTGCAGAATTTCAGCCCAGGCTTCGGCGTGAAGCGAGTTGAAGCAAAAATGCCATTTTAGGTAAGAATTGGCAGCAGTGGCATGTGCCGATGAGAAAGCGATCGATTGCTGGAGCGAGGGATCTACCAATTGCACCGAGCAATAGAACTAGAAAAGCCTGTAGATCACTTATAATTAGAGAAAGAGAGACAGAAATTCACTCAGCGTTTCCTACAGTACTTTTCTTACCATATGCCAAAAATGATCCAAAAATGTGATATTATATCAGTGATAAATGGTAAAATACTTATAGTGAGTAATAAGGGTGAATAAAAACTGCCCAATTTTTCGCGATAGTTTTCGATAATGAGAACTTTGTACCAGAACCTGCTAATCGCGATTAACGCTGTGATAAATGTTCACAAAAGCCTTAACATAGAAAACAACAAGGTATCATTGTATGTTTAGCCCGTCACCACGAATTACGGACATACTGTATATCAAAAGATTCGTCTCATCAAGCTGAAGCCGTATCTTCTTGCAGATTTCATATAAAATTGTTTTAAAAGAAGTTATAGCTAAATCCCGCTTATCCCGCAAATCCCGCGAATCCCGCAAATCCCGTGAAGTCGCGAATCCCGCGAATCTCGCGAATCCCGACAATCCCGCGAATCCCGACAATCCCGCAGTTTTGGACAAATTCTACCGCTGCAACTGTATATTCTGCAAGAGGCTTTTAGCATGCTTCTTAACTTCTAGCAAGCTTGCAGAGTCGAAAATTTTCTTCTAAATTTGATATTATATAGAATCTCATAGAATTATTCCTCAAAAAATTACGTTCATGTTTTTGCATGATTTTTATCTCAATAAAATCAATTTCCAAGAGGAGGGGGTAAATTATTAACACTCAAATTTTGTGAGAATTATCAAAAAAAAGGGCAAGAATTTCGCTTAAGTTAGTAAAGCCAAGCGCGCTTAAACCTTAGAACTTATATTGATTTCCAATTTTGTTCTTCCAATCACCAAACTCAGAATATAGAAATAAGAGGCACACTTTGTGAAATGAAGGCTAAAGTAGTGAAGAATCATAAAACACGTAAAAAGCTGTCATTTTTTGATAGCATAGAGAAAAGGCGAAATCTGTCATAGAAATGAATAAAGAACTGAAGACAATCTTGTTCTGTACACTAATTCCGACACTAATAAGTCAGGAAGGTCAGCGGTTGTAAAACAGATCTAATAATGTCGTAAATTGTCAAATATAGAAATTTCAAGGAATTGTAAACGACAAAATCTTTCATGAAACCGGAGCCTGAGAAGAACAAAAGTTCCTCTCAAAAGTTTTGCTTCTCAGATTTGTAAACAGGTCACGACGTTCAACGAGGCGTTTACGAATTTAACCTTTTGTTATGTTTTCACAAAGCTGCTCATTTACGCTTGAAAAGATCCAAGTATCGGGGGGTAGAAGAAAACGGCGACCCATCAAATCATCCAGGTGCAAAGAGAAAGGTTTGAAAGAGAATACTTGCAAGCAAACAAAAGCACCACTATTATAGGCGAAATATACCATAAACATTCATTTCTCTCTCAGAAAGAAGTTCAATCAAAAGTGAATAAGGTTAAAGTGTGCTAAAAAAAGAGCAAAACTCTTAAAAGAATGCATTTGACGTGAAATCCGCTTTTGTGTTGACGAGAGACTTTTACGATCGTTTTTCTTGTGAAAGGTTGAAAAACTGAGATGCAAAAGTAGTAGCAGTGCATTAAAAAGCAGAAAAAATAGCTTGAAAACTAGTTGGGTTTTACGAGACGAAAAAAATAAAGTTGCCATTGCCAGCCTGCTCAGGAATTCGATGCTGCGAGAAAACAGAGAGCGATTAGGGTCTGAAATATGGTACCCATCGTCCTTGAAGGGGGCAGCTATAAAAATAGGAGTAACTTGATTGGCTCAATTACCAAGACAGATATGAACGCATCATTTATTGTACATTTCATTTACATTAATTTGATCATGAAGGGATTCCCTCCGTTTAAACAAACACTTTCGATGGTTAAATCGAAGCCGAGGTTGGTCCCAAATTACCGAATGCCCAACAAACCTTGCCTCATCTCTCCTGCGAGCTAAGTAGGTAGTTACCTCTTTATCTGCACTGAATCAAAAGTGCTTTGAGAGAAAATATAAGAAGAATAAACGGCGAGATATATTCTATATCAGTTTTGTAAACTTAAATCTATCTTTTCATATAACCCGCAGAAACTTCAAGAAATTGCTATAGAAGATATAGATTTATGACAGATTTGCACATCACGAAATTCAGATTTCAGTGATGACAATTTTGGCGAGCTTCTAAGAATATTTTGATTAAGCTGCTTCGCCATTTACAATAACTAGGCCAAAAAATTGTGATTAAGTTAAATAAAGTTCTAAGCGGTTCAAGGTTATAATCTTACACTGCAGCAACGATCACGAAGGTACTCTTAT